CATAGTAGTTGTCATGATTCTTAGCATCTGACAGTGGACTTGATACATTCTCAAACGTTTCGCCGGCATCATCAGTGAGTCTTGCCATTCGCCGTGCCAAGCTACGAACTCGTCAACGAGACAAGTGAAGCCAATCCCTCGACAAACGTTCTGTCAAAAACAGGGACACTATTACTCCTTTCTGTCCTGGCCTATTCATCTACTCTTTACCCTCTTATCCCATTGCCACTCTATCACAACTTCTCACTTGTTTACATTCCAGTCATCAAAATGTGTGCCATTTTGTGGCAATTAGAGTGTGGCCCAATCACGCTTGCTATCTACCCCGGCCCTTCTCTTTCTATCGGCTTATCCGGCTTGGGCCTCCAATCCGGATACCTTCATTATCTCGTGGATCCGTTCCTTATCTTTCTGGTTGACCGAGTTCACTCGGTTCCAGTCCCTGTGTACATTTTACTCCAGATGCTATTTCTAAAGGCCCTAGAAGCACGCACACTGCCGCCTCACTGAGCAGAGTGCCTAAGCTCTGATTGCCATGCTTGCAGATATTAGGCCTTCCCTTCACGGATCCTTTACCTTGATTAAACCTATGTTATCTGAGCAAACTGTGGATGCCTGTCTCTGGTCGCATGCGGCATCTCAAGTGGATTTCTAGTACATTTTGGGCATAACGCCGAATTTCCGTGACGGTTTGCTTATCCGTCTGCCCAGCACCCTGACTGCCAGGCCCCCAAAGTTGCGGTTTATTCGAAATGGGGATCACCCACTGACAACGTCTTATCTTTATTGCCGAAAACCCCTTACGCCAGTTTCTTCCTCGCGATCCCTTTTCCTCCTGTTAGTTGTAGATCCTTGATCCAGGCGTCTCCTTTTCGCTGATCTCGCTCCATTCTTGTTTTCCCCGAGTTTGCTTAGGCAGTAAACAAAGTTATCGCTAAATCTACCTTCCTCTAATCTCCTGTTCATTAAATTGTTCTCCCCAAGGATGTTAACGGCCTCCCTAATCTTGCGCTTCCTTGTGACGTCCCCGTATGGAGCTCTTCTTTCTGTTGCCTTTCGAATGATCTCGTGTCCAGTCTGTGCGATAGGTTCAGCTAGTTCTGATATTTCGGTATCCATTTTTCTACAGAGCCTCTGATGTTCATTGATTCATGTGCTAATTTTTCTCCCTGTTTCGCCAATATATTTCTGTTTGCATGATATACAGTAAACTTCTGAACAATCCGATTTGTCTACTCTTTCATGTTG